ATTGCAAACAAAGGTTTCTGTACCAAATATTAAGTTCTGCTTTTCTGATGTATCAAATACTTATGTCATGCAATAAAATGCAAATTAATTACTTAAAAATCATACAATGTGATTTTCTGGATTTTTGTTTTAGATTCCGTCTCTCACAGTTGAAGTGTACCTATGATAAAAATTACAGACCTCTACATGCTTTGTAAGTAGGAAAACCTGCAAAATTGGCAGTGTATCAAATACTTGTTCTCCCCATATTAAATGTTTTATCATACAGTAGTAGCTTATAGCTGATAGAAGAGTAGTTATTGACAGTGTGCACACTGCACAGATTAATAGGCTACATGTCTCATCAAAATACATATGATCTATGCGCCATGCAATAATAGTAGGCTACAACATACAGGTCTTTTAAATCAAATATGAATAGGCTAATATTTGCCTTCTACAGTAAACGAAATCAATGCCGATGTAATAAATATGTAGCTAAGTATTGATTAGAGTTAGCAATTTGCACTTCCCATTACACATTGCCCTGACCCTCTTTCAAGTCAAATGGGAGGTCCACATTCCTTAATGTGACTTTTAACTTTTCCAAGTGTAAAAACCCCCAGATAATGACTCTAGTTCAAGTCAGACAATACTTCCACGTATCCAATGCAAATTCAGACAAGCACAATAATCCAGAGCAATCAACTCCCTTACACTCTCACATCAACAAGAGGTACTGTATCTCCCCTAGAATGTGTGGTAAGCTTGTGCCAAACATCAGTTTACGCCCAAACATTTCCAATACATGCCGACAGTAGGCTATAGACTATGGGCTAGTGTGCTTACCATCTCTTGCTGGATGTAAGAAGCCAAGTATTTGGTACAGCGGAGGTCAAATAGCGTTAAGATTGTGAGGCACTTTACCCTGAAGAGAGACAGATAAACTAGAAGGAACGGAAGGTGCGCTGTCCAGGGTATCTCAGTATCAGCCTTTATAGCTCGCTGTGGCACGCGAGCTATAGACCCCACGAAGTATGGCAGATCATATGCCGGTCTGTGAAGCCACGACAGACATGCAGGGCGGTAGGGGGATGCTGAAATTACCGACAGGGACTGTGGCCAATCAAGGCGCACGCCAGCGCGGGCGCGGTTCCAGCAGCGGCGGCAAGGCAATCGAACCATACCTTGGAGGCTGCGGGGGTTGGACATGACTGAACAGATGGGATGGGTAGGACGGCATTGTTTGTATTGATGATGATGCTACTGAATCCGCTATTATTGCGTGAGAGAGAACCACTGGATGGATGGCACTTGAGCGTTGGCTGCGGCCAGGAAAAAGGCAACCTTATTGACCCGACAAAGACAGGACACTTTGCAGGATCAACCTACTATACTCATTTTCTGCTATGTGGGATGTAAACGGCTGTATCTCCCCTGTAATGCAACTATTGCATTCAAATGGCCTTGTCCAGAAATGATATAGAATATAGTTTTTTCAGTGCATTCAGGCTGCTTAGCGTTCATACCTCCAAATGCATTTCAGACTGTTTTTTAATGCTCGGTGAATGAGTGGAATATGAAAAATTCATGGAGAAAACATGACGATGATGTGGGCTATTTTT